AACCTTAGAAGGGAGAACACGAGAAATTGCCGTGATAGTAGTACCCACTTTACCACAAGGCTTGATCCTAGGCATAGACTTCTGGGAAAGGATGCAACTAGTCACTAATATGGCAGAGAAAACCTGGGAATTCGCTCCAAAATTAAATTCCATGGAAGTTAAAGAGGGTCTTCAACCTAAGGAGTACTTATCTAAAAACCAAACTGAAATTTTGCAGAATTTAGTTGAAAAATATTTAGGAGACAACAAAAAGGTGTTAGGCCGCACTGATCTGGTCACCCATGTGATCGATACTGGTGATGCAAAACCAATTAAACAAAGGTATTATGCCGTTTCTCCGGCCAGACAAAAACTTATCAACGAAGAACTAGATAGAATGCTTGAGTTAGGGGTGGTTGAACCCTCCATGAGCGCTTGGTCGAGTCCCGTGATCCTTTTGGACAAGCCTGACGGTTCAAAACGATTTATAGTGGATTTCCGGAAGGTCAACGAGGTTACCAGAAGAGACGCATACCCACTACCCAGAGTAACTACCATCTTAGACCGTCTGAGAGATGCAAAATATCTAAGCTCTCTCGATATAAAACATGCGTATTGGCAAATCCCACTTGAAGAAGCTAGTAAAGATAAAACCGCTTTTACTATCCCAGGAAGAGGTTTGTTTCAATTCAACACAATGCCATTCGGTCTCCATAATGCGCCTGCCACCTGGCAACGATTTATTGATAATATTTTAGGCCCAACCTTAGAACCTTATGTATTCGTCTACTTAGACGACATTATTGCGGTAACGCCAACATTCGAACTTCATCTACAAGTATTGGAGAATATTTTCAAAAGACTTAAAGAAGCTAAACTGACCCTGAATAGGGACAAGTGTGTGTTATGTCGCCCTGAACTTAAGTATTTAGGCTATATTGTTGACCAGGGTGGTCTTAAGGTAGATCCAGATAAGGTAAAAGCAATATTGGACATCCCGATACCACGGAATCAGAAGGAAGTCAGACAGTTTTGCGGGACGGCCAGTTGGTACCGTAGGTTTATACCTGATTTCGCAACCAGAATACATCCTTTAACAAGCCTTCTACGGAAGAAAGTTCCATTCAAATGGACCGTTGAGGCCCAATCTGCTTTTAGGGATATAAGAGGATGCTTAGTTAAGGCCCCTATTTTGAGCTGTCCAGATTTTGACAAACCTTTCCTCATTTCGTGTGATGCTAGTGGGTTTGGATTAGGCGCTGTTTTAAGCCAAGAATTACCAGAAGGGGAGACAGTGATCGCTTATGCTAGTCGAGCCTTATCGAAAAATGAACAAAAATTCTCTGCTACCGAGAGAGAGTGCCTAGCAGTTGTGTGGGCGGTGGAAAAATTCAGAGCCTATGTGGAAGGTACAACTTTTACTGTCATAACGGACCACTACTCGTTACTCTGGCTACATAACCTAAAAGAACCTCAAGGAAGACTTGCACGGTGGGCTTTGCGCCTACAAGCTTTCGACTTCAAGATAGTTCACCGTAAGGGAAAAGAAAATGTGGTTCCAGATTTATTGTCCCAAACATCCAACCCATCAGTTGAAACCCCTAAAAGTTGTGGCTTAGTAATCCCGAACAATATAGAAGATAAATGGTACCTAAAAATGATTGGTCTAGTAAATTCTAGTCCAGAACGTTACCCGGTCTGGCGAACTGACAACCAACGGTTATGGAAATTCCTCCCAAATAATGATAAGTGTGATAGCGAGGAAGATGCGTGGAAATTGGTAATTCCTAAGGAACTGCGGAAAACAGTATTGGTCGAGTGTCATGATCTACCAACAGCTGGCCATCTTGGTTGTTACAAAACCTATCACCGTGTTAAACAAAAATATTATTGGCCTAAGATGCGCACTGATATTATGACCTACATTAGACGCTGTGAAACTTGTCAGAAGGTTAAATATGACCAAACAAAACCCACAGGTTTCATGGGTGTGCGTCGTGGAGTAGACAAACCATGGGAGATGATAAGTATGGACTTGTTAGGCCCTCTGCCGAGATCATCTAAGGGTAATAAATTCATCTTGGTAGTTACAGATATGTTTACGAAATTTGCCTTACTTTTTCCCATACGTTCCGCTACCGCTATTACAGTTGCCAACCTGGTAGAAGAACATGTTTTCCTTTTATTTGGAGTACCTCGTTACATAGTATGTGACAATGGTTCGGAATTCATCGGGAAACCAGTGAAGAAATTAGCAGAACAGTATCGAGTCAAAATGCTATTCAACCCCAGCCGTCATGCACAATCCAACCCTACTGAACGCACTAACAAAACCGTGCTAAGCATGATTCGTGCTTTTGTTCAAGAAGACCATCGTAAATGGGACGTAAATATTGCTCACCTGGCTTTCGCACTAAGGACAGCAGTTAATGAAACTACAGGTTATTCACCGGCCTACTTGAGTTATGGAAGAGAACCTTCAGCCTCCGGGGATGGATATCAACTTCTCAAGAGTCCAGACGAATTAGAAGAATTGCAAGATGTGAACCTACTATCCGAAAAACTAAGAAACCTTCAAAACATATATAAATTTGTTAAGGGTCAACTGGATAAAAGCCACGAGAAAAATGCCCAGCGGTATAACCTACGGCGGAGGGATCTTCAATTAAAAGTAAATGACTTGGTATGGAAGCGAAATTTCACTCAATCTGATGCGGCTAACTACTACTCCAGTAAACTTACACCCAGATTTGTGGGACCATATAAAGTTGTGGAGAAACTGTCATCTAATGTGTACAAATTGGAGGATCAAGATGGAAAAGCAATTGGGAAGTGGCATATCTCAGACTTAAAGCCTTATATTAATTAGTTTCTGGCAGTCAAGAAAATGTGGGACATTTTCTTAAGGAAAGGGGGTATTTGTAACGTTCCGAAGTGAAATCTACTTTTATTCAATCCTCTCAACAATGCTGAGACTGATCAACTCAGCTATGTTGATAAGCTGCATAAGCGCGCTATGCTGCCTGCCGTTTGAGACCAAAAAAATACCAAAATAAAAGAAGAATTGACTCCGGACCTACACCAAATGGACTCAGTTCCCCCCCCCCTTGTTCCTTGGTTTTGGGAGTGAATCTTTTCGTCCTTCTTCTCTGAGACGACGGCCATGATACTTCATCCTTTTCTTGTCCTCCAAGATTCTCGACAACTGTCCCCGAACCCTAGCCTGGGATTTATGTGATCGGGGGAGCAGTTACGGATCAGAGAGAGCAGTTACGGATCAGAGAGAGCAGTTACGGACCAGAGACGTTATTGGACTTCCAAGACCTGCCTATTGACGACCTCATCGCCGCTGCAGTGTCACTGTAACTGGCCACTGAAGTCTACCCTACCAACCGTTGGACGATCCGACCCTATCGCCATGGAGACTCTGGGTCCGAGATTCGACTGGATGTGAAAACGATAAGTCCTAGGCCTAAGTTAACTTACTGTGTGCAGGCAAAATCTTTTCTGTTTCAATTTGAGCCGTCCCATTATCAACAAAATAGAAGACTGAGTGCACCCTGCCCGTTTTGTGGAGTGTTAGGTTAGGTTAGGTTGGACGCTCCGTTTCTGAAGAAGCAACGTAGGTTAAGCAACATTCATCGTAATATTTATATTTATTTGTATCATTGTTTCATTGTGTATTATATTGTGTTTATTCCAGGTGGCCACCTAAATTCATGAAAATATTGTCTGAAATTTAATCATTTAATTTACTGAAGGAATGTGTTAGGTTCTGGTTAGGCCTAGTGTATGTAAATAGTAACCTGTTTAAAACCCACATTCTAATTTGTTAACTTGTCAGTGTTTATTTAAATCGTCTGTTTCAGGTTCCAATATTTTTGAGATCCAAAACTCAGTAACGTAAATTTGTTTCATGTTCTCGAATATTTGATATTAGTAAATTTAGTAAATTGTTTCTTGTTTCATTGAAGGGTTTTTTTTTCTTGCTATTATTGTCCATGTTTTGAACCACTTGGTACTTGAGGATTACCTTGGTTAAGGAATTGTTGCTGCCTTTTGTACTGAAAATTAATTGTGTTCTTTAAATTTTGAACAACATCTCAATTCCTTTGTATATTGTCAATAGTTGAATTTTTCTCTAGTAAACTTGTATTTTGTAACTTGTATTTGTATTGAATTATTGATTCCCGTTCTAGTTTTAAGTCATGTTTTTCCCCTTGATAAAATGGATCAGTATCCGCACACCTAGGTAGGCTTAACAGAATTCTAGGTTTTTACGCTCACAGTTACCTCTAGATCTTGAGGTTAGGGTACATTTTAGTAATTTTAGATTGTAAGGTGTGTTCATTTTGGTCACGTAAAACTTGTTCTTTTGTCGTATTCGCGTCTTTCGTAGTCAGGCTCACCTTTCGGTCACCTAAATACCAGGCAACCGTCCAACCCGCTAGGAATTCCCTTTCCTCATTAATGGAACTCCCCCCTACCCAACGGCAAATGAGGTGGCGCCCTGTGACTACAAGGTGAACTGAATACAAGACTGAAAATACAATTAGGCAACACCCTCGACCCAAACCGACTGACTCGGCAATTCATGTGACTCCCTTTGGGAGGTTACACTACATTAGGCCCCATTCGCCTATTGGGTCTGATGATGATTGGAGTCTCCAATCGAAATTGATCACCACTTACCATCTTAAGTATACCGTCTTGTGAGTAAACAGTATAAGTGTATTATTATACTATTATTATAATTATTATACATTTTTATTTTTTGTGCTTTCAGGTAACAAAAATTACTTCAGTTGGGGGGAAATACTTTGAGAGGAGAAGTTATGAGGATAGCAAACATCTGACATATAGGCTACACATATCTGTCATAGCCTATCATATAATGTGCATATACCTACGATCCAATATGCTTAACATAAACAAAAGTGAGGGTCATTGATTGTCCTTGATATCAAATCAAACTCAGCTACGCCCTCGATGACGTATTTGGCTGGTGCCTCTCCAATGACATGGCTGTGAATCCCACAAAAACCAAATTGATCACGTTCAGCAGGAAATTAAATACAGTGTTAGCTGACTACTCTCTTGATGGCAACCGGGTTGAGAGATGCAATACCATCAAGGATCTTGGTGTTCTAATTGACTCTTCATTCGAGTTTGGACCCCACATAAACCAAATCTGCACCAGGGCCTCTCGTATGCTCGGTTTGGTATTCCGCTCTGCTAGACATGGTTTGAGCAACCATGCCTGTATTATCCTATACAAGTCTCTCATCCTGCAGCTTCTCGAGTATGCTTCCTTGGTTTGGTCACCATACCATCTTGGCCATATTTACCATCTTCAGTCGGTACAAAGACGCTTCATCAGGTTCCTGGGATGTCGTGCTGGACTTGACTTTCGTGACGTCCGGGTAGATGAGCTCTCTAATATCTATGACATTCCGAGTCTTGAAAACAGAAGGCGAGTGGCTGATGTGACCTTTCTCTATAAACTGATAAATAACCAAGTCAACTGCCCCTTCTTGCTGGAAAGGATAAACTTCCATGTTCCTTCGAGGATCACGAGACATCAGCGTGTATTTGAACTGGACCATACTGGGACCAACTACGCCAGATCTAGTCCCATTCCCCGGATCATGCGCCTCGGGAATGTGGTAAGCAGCTCTGTGGACCTTTTAACTGCCTCCTTGGGGGTGGTTCGGCGTTCTGCGGCTGACTGCATCCTCGAGGGTACACCATAAAATCATTGTTGTTGTTATTCCTTTGTTGTTGATTTTTCCCATGTTAATATTTGTGACCTATTTTGTTTGTATTCTTATTATTGATATATTCATTGTTATGTTTTGTTATTGTTATATTTTTTATACATTGTTATATTTTTTTATGCATTGTTACTCCTCTGTTAATTATTATATCTTTATAATATTTTTTGTAACTACTTAATGTAAAATGGTGTTTGCCGTTGGTGTTTAATAAAAAAAAAAAAATTAAAAATTAAAATAAAAAAAATTAAATATCAAAAAATCTGTATTTTATAATCATAGGAATGGTATAGTAACCTAACCTAAAGTAGACAATAGACAATAGACAATTCTTTATTCCGTTAAACAATATACATTGCAATAGGAAAGGTCAATACAATTTACAGTCATCGTTTTGTAAACATTAAACAAAAGTTTTACAATCTAAAAAATCTTTGGTAGAGAAAAAGGCATTTGCTTTAAGGAGTACAGAGATGGCTGACTTAAATTTGACATAATTGAGATTTCTTAATTCTAGTGGTAACTTATTGTATAACTGCAACTGTTGATACAAATGACAATTCAAGGTTTTACTCAGCCTAACATGGGGGGGTGGACAGATCATTTCTATTTCTGGTTAAGTGTACATGACAGGAAGCTTGTGTAGAAAATGAGTTGATGTTTTGTTTTACATGGAGGAGGTTACTAAAAATATACAAAGAAGGCACAGTCATAATGTTTAGCTCTACAAAACTAGCTCTACAACAACCTCTAGAGTATAGTAGGAGTTCGTGTAAGTTCAGCATTCCCCGTACGAGTTCGTTTTGTGGATCGTGAAGGGTTATAGTTTTGCGAATCGGCCGACTCGGTACCGGAAAATAGTCAATTTTAAACAGTTAAATCATTTATGTTTACTGCTGCAAGTGTATTTGGTAAGATATATAATTTTATAAAGATAAAAAAGTGCATACTATTTTATTGTGCATGTTTGTACCGTATTTCTGAACACTTCAAAAGATATACCACTAAATTGTTATCATTTTATTTATTTGTTTATTTTTATCCTATTAAGTATATCCGAGTTACATTTATTTACTTAAATCTCTTTGTGGGACCCTATTTGAAACACCCAGTGAATTATACAATTTGAACTGATACAGATCCCGCCAGGCTCGCACTCAGCCAATAGGGTTTCAGTTATACGAGTCAACTCAACTCGCGTTCCGCCAATAGCGTTGAATCTATGCGAGTCGACTCGTAAAGCTGTGACGCTATTGGCCGAAAGCGAGTCAACTCGTTACGTCCCGAGTTCGTAAAGGTTCGGCTTTCTCCGTATGAGTTCGGTTTCTTGACTCGCTTTGAGGCTGTGTGTGAGCCAATAGCGTTTAAGTTTTGCGACTGCGAGTCGGACTCGTTACGTTACGAGTTACGAGTTCGTGTAGCTTTGGCAATCTCCGTACGAGTTCTTACCGCATATGACGTCACCCGCCGACCCGGACGGTGCTGCTCTTAATTCACACAGCTGCCACCTGTCAAATTCTTTGTTATTGTTGTTTGTTTTTTATTTATTTATTTTCATAGAACTTACACAAAAACAAACAACAATAACAAAGTATTTGACAGGTGGCAGCTGTGTGAATTAAGAGCAGCACCGTCAGGGTCGGCGGGTGACGTCATATGCGCGACTGAGGCAACCTTCGTACCAACCATCGAAGTATATGGTACCAACTCGAGTTGTGAATGAGATGACTCAAGTTGACTCGACTCGAGTCAACTCGACTCGCCAACTCAACTCGTCACATCACTAATTTTTTTTAGCATTATCAGCATCATTAATCAGCAAATCAGCATCCAAAAAGGTCTCTCGCTCGGCTCGGGGCTCGATCATCGGTCTTTCTCTTTCACTTTCTGTAAACTCAATTAAACATCAACACCCGTACTGTACTAGGCCTATGTATGTTCAATTTTTTTCTAGTGGGACCTAGCTTACATTATTTTATACATACTACCACGAATACTAGAAAATACATACTACCACGATTACTAGAAAAATAAAATACCGTAGGTTTATATAACCAAAATGGTAAGTTGGACTACCTAGTTTAATGTTTTTAAATTATGTACATTAATCGCTGAGCTGTATGTACCTATATAATTCTTAATCAGTGTTCGTAAACCTTAAACCTATTCCCATCAAGATGTTTCATTCGATTTACCGTTTGGTTAGTTATAAGGTTAACCTAACCTAACTAACCAAATGATATATCAAATGAAACAATCGAATAATGATATTTTCATTCGAATGAGTGTAGGACCTAAAGTAAAGTACAGCCCTAATTTGTATCACTGTTGCTAGGCCTAGTTTTGTTCTGATTTACCTAAAAGTAACTTATTGGTAAACTAACCTGTCTCTTTAAGCTCTAATACTTTTTTCTTTTACCTTCAATGTCTTCACCACAATCCGTAAGCTTGGACAGAGGAATCACCATGGTTCTTCTGTCTGGACAAGTTTTCGCTAGTCAGGATAGTTCTAGGCCAATGTTTGCTTTGTGTCTTGTATTATTTGTCTGGATTTCCTGTCTGCGGACTGGTGTTAAGTTATGGAGTAAATGAGTAATTAAACTATATTTTCTAGGACGTACAGTGATGTGATGGTAAGGATGCTAAGGCGGATGAAGTGTGGTTTGCAATGTTATTTTGGGTCCAATCTAAGTATTGTTCTTATGGCCTTTTCTGTAAGATCATTATTCGTTAGAGGTTTTGGGCAGATGTGGAACCCCATGCTGCAATTCCATTTCTCAAGTGTGAAGCGTAGATGGAGTGGTAGGCTAGCATTGTGGTGTCCAGATCTAACTTATTGGTGGTGTTGCAGTTTCTACAGAGTAAGTTACAGTACCGGTACCTACCAAAAGTGCATTAAGTTAGACAGTTATTAACCTAGGTAAGTTAATCTATATGGATCTGTCAATTTGGAAAACTACATTTTGAGTGATCTAAGTTGAGCCCAGGTTTGTACACTAAGAGGTAATACTTATTGTTTTATAGGCCTATACATTGAAATTGTATTCTTTTCCTGTATGACTTATTTTTGACATTTGTGACTTTTGTCTATGCATTGTTTATAAGTTATATGTTTATGGACAATAAATGATTTGATTTGACTTAGATTTCCATCAATGTAACTTAGATAGATTCCATGGAATTTTTTTAGTTGATTGTGGGAATGCTCAGTCTGGTTGAATCATCTCTGTTCTTTTATTGTTATTTATTCGGAAATTAATATGCACTGTTTTATTCTTATTAATTATGAGGTTCATAATTTTCACAGGTTGTTTTCTATCCATTGTTATTTGGTTAAGTTAACATTGTCTGCTTTACGATTTGTTGGAACAACAATGGTGGTATCATTGGCAAAAGTATTGCATTTTAGGTTATTGTTGAGATTGGAGGGAAAGCTATGTAGGCCTATTACAATGAAGAGGAGGGGGGCCAACATAGATCCCTGGGGAATTCAACTTGATATGATCTGGTGGTAAAATTGTGTTTTGGCGTTGGCTTTCAATTTATACATATTGCCGTCTGCCTTTTTGAGATAAATTTTGATCCATTCCAAGGTTTCGCCTTGGATATTTATTTACACTGATTAATTTTGTTCCGAGGATGTTCCCAGATATCGGTGATGTGAGTGACTAATTTTGAGATTGCAGTAGTGATGTTAAGGGTCTTCATGAAGCCGTGTTGCATAAGTTATGGAGAGGAGGTTTTTGGAGCCGAGGTGCGTGATTAGTTATACTGGTACATTACTCTCTCTAGGAGTTTGGTGATGATCTTACCTTACCTTTTTTTTTTACCTTCGATGTCTTCACCACAATCCGTAGATCGGGGAATCGTCATAGTTCTTCCGTCTGGACGGGATTTTTCTGTATATTCACGAAGTGAGCTGGCGTATGTGTGTGTAAGAATGTTCCTCTATGTACTCGTTTATGTTGTAATATGGTCTATTGGTGAGGTATTTTTTTAGGTGTTGGACAAATGTTTTATTGTTGTGTAGATGTTTAAATTGTTGTGGTAGCAAGTTGTAGAATTTTGAGCCAGTGTATTGTGGTGTATTGCTGAATTTAGAGAGTCTATGTTGGGGTAGATCTATGTTTGCTTTGTGTCTTGTATTATGTGTATGGAGTTCTTGTCTGCGGACAGGTGTTAAGTTTATGGAATAAATGATGGTTTCAAGGATATACAGTGATGTGATGGTAAGGATGTTGAGTCGGATGAAGTGTGGTTTGCAGTGTTCATTTGGGTCCAACCTCAAGATTGTTCTTACGGTCTTTTTCTGTAGAATTAATATTCTTTCGAGGTTTTTGGCAGATGTAGAACCCCATGCGGCAATGCCATATCTCAAGTGTGAAGCGAAGATGGAGTGGTAGGCTATCATTGTAGTGTCCAGATCGGTGGTGTTGCAGATTCTACGGAGTACAAAGAGTGCAGTAGACAGTTTTTTACTAAGGTAATCTATATGGATCTGCCAGCTTAGGTTTTCGTCAATGTAGATACCCAGGAATTTAGTTGAGTCAACCGTGGGAATGCTCAGTCCGGACCAATCGTCTGTTCTTTTATTGTTATTGTTTATTCGGAAGTTGATGTGTACTGTTTTGTTCTTGTTGATAATGAGGTTTATATCTTCACAGGCTGTTGTTGCTTGATCCATTGTTGATTTTATTAAGTTAATGTTGGATGCTTGACGATTTGTTGGAACAACAATAGTGGTGTCATCGGCAAAAAGTATGCATTTTTGGTCGTTGTCAAAACTGGAGGGGAGGCTATTGATGTAGATGATGAAGAGGAGGGGACCCAATATGGAACCTTGGGGAATTCCTCTTGATGTATTTCTAAGTGATGATTTGGTGGTGTAAATGGTGTTATGGTGTTGACTTTCAATTTCTACATATTGGTATCTATCTGTCAGATAACTGTCGATCCATTCCAGTGCTTTGCCTTGGATA